TGTTTAATTTCGTTGATATTTTAGTTACCTCACTCACAAGCGCTGAATATGGACTTCTGGTTTACTTAATGAATGGTTTAAATGGTAAATGAACATTTTCTTTTTCATTGTCACCATCATCACGGTCCGTTTCGTCATCATCGTCTTCATCAACATTCTACTCATTCATCTTTTCATAATCATCGTCGTCGTCGTCATCATCATCAGTACGTGCATATCCTTATCATCACCATCATCATTCTCATCGATTTTTCACAAATTATAAAACATCATCTTTATCACTTTCATCACTATCACTATTCTTACTTGAAATTTTTTTTCTACACACGTGTCATTAAAAATGACACGTGTGTAGTCACACATGACTCTCTCTCTCTCTCTCTCTCTCTCTCTCTCTCTCTCTTTCTATTTCTTTCTCTATCTCTCTCTTTCTCTCTTATTCTCTCTCTCACTTTTTCTCTGACACACACAACCTACGCACACACACACACACACACACACACACACACACACACACTTCAAATCACACGTATATACATACATACATATACAAACCTTTACATACATTTACACACAAGTGAACACACATTCATAATTATAACATACATTGCACGATAATAAATGTTTATTGGGTCTTCTTATCAATACTACATACAAGTGCACGCGACATGAACAAATATTAATACAAATACATACACCCACATGCACACATACAAACACACACACGCGCGCATACAAACACATGCGTACAAATATTTTTATACATAATATACACAAACCTATATACATCAAAAACTCATTCAAACATAGATTATACACACAACACACACACACACACACATCATAGTCCTAACCATCATTATTAACCCTATCATCATCATCAGCTCATCATTATTAACAACAATAATATCATTATCATCATCAACAACATTGTTGTTTTTAATATTTCAGCTGTCTGTCTATATGGCTACAGGCACGAGCAAGAATGTAATAATTTTTTGTTGCACACAGCTCAACAACACTTACTGCACTCATTACTACAAACTTTTTAAGTACAATATTGCATCATTCCGTTAGCAATACCATGTATCATTATGTATCTTTCAATTTCATTTAGTACAACGAATCAGTGAGTCGTACGTATAAGTGAGTCTTTCTCAAATTTGTTGGGGTAGAGTACTGCGTTATTTAATCTATGTAGTTATATTCAGTATAATTTAGTATCATTATGTGTATGTGTGTTTGTGTGTAGTTTACATGTGTGTGTATGTTGTGTGTGTGTGTTTGTGTGTGTTTGTGTGTGTGTGTGGTGCAGTGCTTATATAAAACGATTATTTTTAAACGTATTAAATCAAAATCAGCATGGCGAGGTGTGGCTGGGTATCGTGTTGCAAGTTGTTTCCAATGGCTGTTCCCATGCAGAATCCTTAAAAATGAAAAAAAAAATTAACCGAAACGTGATAGGTTTGTATCAAAAAACCTGAAATCGTAATTAACATTTTTCAAATTATTTCGCATTTGCATACACATACATACAGACAAACACAAACACACACGCGCAAGCACACACGCATACATACACATACAAAAATATACTTGAATAATAAAAGATAAACTTTTTTATTTTTCTGTTATATTTTAAATGTTTTAAAATGTACAAACGATTTGATTTGATGTCTGTGCCACAGTTGCTTCCAAATATATTCAGTGAATCAAAAATAACTTAAAATTCATTTGGCAATATTATAATACGTTATATATATATATAATGTGTGTGTCTGTATGTCTTTGTGTGTGTCTGTATGTCTATATATGTGTGTGTGCGTGTGCGTGTCTGTGTGTGTGTCCGCGTTTGCCTGCGTGTATGTGTAAATAATGTAACTTTTACTTTATGAGATTTAGAACTTGGTGAGAATTTTGCGTTGCCTGTCCCGGTGGCTTGTGACTCTAATTTATTGTCATCATCGTTATTATTCTTTTTATTATTCCTCTTATTTTTTTATTATTGTTATTATTGTTAGTGTAACTAGTGTAGGGTTAGCTATAATGTTATTGTTATTGTTATAAGAAATGGATTTGGTTACCTGATTAAATTGTGGTTATTGTTGAGTATACATCTTGTTGATGTCATTGTGCTCTTGTTGAAAATGAATCAGGCAAAATATTTTCAAATACATATTCAGAAACAAAAAATAAATAAATAATAATAATGCTAATAATAACAACATTTTTATTATTATTTTTTTTCTACCTCCAGAACACTGCAATGAGCACATTTGAGCTCCAGCTGACACTCTTCCAAACATCTCAACCCCCATCATCATCATCATCGTCGTCATCGTCATCATCGTCTTCCTCTTCTTCCTCCTCATCATCATCACCACCACCATGTTCTCCGTCAAACAGATGTAACGTCTTCTTCAAAATCTGCCTAACCCATCAGCAGCCTGTCATGAAGTTAAAAAACTTTCCAGAGGCTGGGCCCGGGGGGTACGACTGCACCTTCGGTAGCACCGTCACGGACGTATTGTGGCGGAATAATTCGTCTAATATGCACCACACTGTCAGACTGCCCATCTCTTATAAATGGACGGTTGGTGGGATTTTTTTTTAGGTTTTAGCTTCTTTATCAAACCTACTTCTTTATTAATACGGTCATTATCAGTATTGTATTTGTTGTTGTTGTTATTATATTACTATTTTTATTATTGTAATTATTAAATTATTAATAATATTATAAATAATAAAAAATACCAATCAAGCCATTTCTAAAGCGTAGGCAGTCATCATCGTAACGTGTGGACACAACTCACTCACACATACACACACACACCACACACACGCACACATACAAATACTTACTCAAACAACAAATATTACACACACACACACACACACACACATGTATACAAACATTCACACAAATGCTGCACACAGAAAATAATACAAACAAACATTCTTACGCTAAATCATACACATACAAACAGACATTTACAAACATACATGGGTACATAAATAGACATGCAACAAATTGATTAATATTATTATTATTAATTATTATAATTATATTAATATTTATTATTATTATTATTGCCACGCCAAAAGTAATGTTATGTAACGGGATCGCTCTGAGCACCTGGTTAAGCAATGATTAATTTTTAAATTAAACTACTCGTATGTATGTATGCTTGTTTGTTTGTATGTATATATGTATGTATGTTTGTTTGTTTGATTGTATGTTTGTTTGTTTGTTTGTTTGTATGCATGTTTGTTTGTTTGTTTGTATACATGTATGTACGCATGTTGTAGCTAAAAGATTCGGACTCACGGTAGATTAAATGAAAACAGAGGCATCACATCAAAGCCACCCAACCTCACCTGACTCGACAGCCACAGTATCAGCAGACGGCTTGCAGTTGAATGCTGTCAACAGATCTTGTTATCCTGGCAGCTACATCTCAAGTACAACCCCCATCTCACAGCCAGGCTTGCCAGTGCTGGTGCTGCATATGCGAGATTGGATAGACGAATCTGGAGGGAGCATGTGGTACCTCTGGCAACAAAAATTGCAGTCTACATTGCAGTTGTCCTGAATGCTCTGCTCTACGGTTGTCAAACTTGGACGGCTTATGGACGCCCCATACGTAAGCTCGGTCAATTTCACATAGTAGAAGGACAGTTTGAAGGAAAAATTAAAGAAGTGTGGACTGTATCTATAAACATTCTACACTGAAGATCAGCAGCGTACGGATGGAATGGAGACTGAACTTAAACAGGCACGAATCGCAGTTCTGGTTGACAAAATGCAGCGGCGGAATTGGACTTTTTGCCCACCCACACGAAGTCACACAATGACCCGATCCTTCGTCCACGAAGATGCTGTGCACGCATTGTATTTGAACGTTTGGACGTGTGTATGAACCCGTTTTGATGAACAAGCCATGAACGTATGTATGTATGTAAATTATATGTATGTATGTAAATTATATGTATGTTTGTAAATTATATGTATGTATGTATGTAAATTATAGGTATGTATGTATGTAAATTATAGGTATGTATGTAAATTATATGTATGTAAATCTGTAGAATAAATTCTCAAGCTTGCATTTTTGTCATATTAGGAAGGTGATCGATCGCCAGTGAAGGTATTGTTTTGTGTGATTAATTTACAATATTCTCACGTTGGTGAAATCAAGGACAGACAAACAAAACAAACGCGGCCTCACACACACACACATAAACACACATACGGACAAACACACATACAT